GCCATAGTAGACCTGCCAAGTCTGTGACCTAAGCCTGTTGGTATCCGACAGGCTACTTGAATATGCTGAGACCTTGGGTGGATGGGTGATAATGTCCAAGTGATGGGCATTATGAGAAAATAAACTACTATAAGCATGACTAAAGCAAGGAGGAAGAAAAAAAATTCTTTCATATTAAAAACCTGTATTCATAAGTGATCAAATGCTCTCTTTCTCATCGGCTTTGCGGCTACAGATTTACTCTGTCTGGCATGACCAGTGGCTTTTGCTGTCTGTCAGATAATGTCAGCGGACTTTAGATGGCAGTGTAACTGATTTTATTCCACTTTTTTCCAGTTGTGCTTCTATTGTTTAACATGTCAAATGCATGCAAAGTTACCACAGGAAGTAAACTACTTTTTTCCCTTTGGAATGAAGAAGTACTGAGTTTAAAGTCTTGATGAGCTTCCTCAGGGATATAATCTCATCCTCCAGCACTTGCTGAATCCCCGTTGGCCACTGAAACCAGCACACATTTGAATCTGGGTGGTTTCATAGCAAACAGTAGTCTGGCCAAAACCCAAGGATGGACTGTACACGTGCACTATCGCTCCATCTCCCAGCAGGGGAGACTCAGAAGACAGTGTGCAAGGAGTTGGTCACATGGCTGGGCTTAAAGATGTTTGTGTTGACATGGTCGTGTTAAGTACACTGGATTTTCTAACCATCGTTTTCATGGTGTTGGACAGAACACTGGGTCTCATTCACCACCTGTTCTTAAAAACTAATTGGTAAAACCCACTGACAGAGATACTGGCATTCACCGATGTTTTCTTATCTGGGATTTGTTCTTAAGAATAGAATTTATGTACACTTGGCACATTTGAGCACTGACGTGTGTGAAATAACTGGTTATTTAGTTTTCTTCAGTTCCGCAGTTAGATAATATAAGACTTTAATTACAATAAGTCTTTTATTATTTCTTTCCCATTGTTTTACCAAGGATTATGGTCTTTTTAAAATGAATAAACACTGCACTAAAAATTACAGCAAGCAATATTTTGTCTTTAAGGTTTTAAATTTTAACATTGGCAGTGCTATTTATAGCTTAGAATTAGGAAATGCATTACTTAAAAAACACGTTTAAAGTGTAAATCTTTATTTCGAGTTTCTGTTAATGAAGTGTCTCTCGGGTGATGTGGCCAGTGTTGAGGCTGTCTGTGGAAGCGTTTGGTTGTCCAGCACCACATCTGAGATCAGACTTGGGGCAGTTTAGAGAACTGGGTGTGCACAGCTGATGGCACACCAGACAGAGCCGCATATGGCCCCGATGTGCTGGGCCAGCCCGTCCTCCTCCTCTGCTCAGTACCTCTCTTCCGTGTTTTTGTTGCCTCAGCTGTGCGCCCTCACTGGTCAAGTCAGAGCATCCCATGTCTTTTATTTTATTTTCTGTCCACTACTGATGCTACTAAATATGGCAGCTCATTCGCTGTTCTCCACTTCATCACTACTCAGGTTTTTCTTCGGTTTGCAGTTTGTTGCTCCAGTGTCTTTACACTTTTGTTGTAGCATTCCTGGCTTTCCCAACTTCTTTTAAATTTCTGTGCAAGTTCATGCACATGGCCCCCACAGTCACGTGCCCTCTTATGGCCACTGGCGGAGCATTAATCTATGTTAATTAGGGACAACTGGCACATGCTTTTAATTTACAAATATATCAATAGTTCTGCGGTTTAATAAGGTGTTTCTGAATCAGGACCTTTCTTAAGAACAACCTACAAAGAAACTGAGGACGTCCTGACTCATGAACATACACTTCCTGTTTTTGTTTGTTGTTGTTCCCCCCAGATTACCCAACTCCCCTGCCAGTGCCCTCCCCCGGTTCATTGCGTGTGTGCATGCATACTCTCCTGTGCTCTTCACCAGATCGGTGAACGTTCCCTCCTGAACAAGACCCTGCTCCCTTGTACCTGAACAACAAGCTCCTTCCTCTTGGTCTCTCATTGAGTGTCAGTGCTTCAGCTGACCTGCAAGGCAACTCACCTTCACTCCTGCAACCCAGCCAGCTCCTTCCTTGTCTCTCCGTGCTTTACCTCTCCTGCACCCAGTAGCCTGTCCTTTTGTCAAACTCTGTGTACATTGGCCCCACCACCAGTAGCCAGTCCTGACAAAAGAAGACACTTAGGAAGATGTGGGTGAATGTGACCCATTATTCTTTTGAACACACTAAAGGAACTCATCCATTAATCTGTAACCTAACACTAGCATTACCTACAAGTGACAATGGTTTACTAGCTCAGTTGTATTCACCTGGTCATGTGACCCAGCACCTTGCATGTCTCCATATTCCTTTGAGAGCCACCTATCTGAGCTGAAGGCCGGCTGTTGGTGTTGCACCTGAATGATTTCACCTCCTTGCATCAAATGGAGCAAACTCCTCCGGCCTGGGTCACAGGCCATCATTCAGTAACACCTCTTCGCCACAATTCCCAGCCTATTCGGTCAGATGGCCTGGATATAGAAACTTCTCAGGTGCTACCGCCCCTGGTATACAACTGAACTATTATTACTTGTTTAGTTGTTGTGATTTTTTAATTTTTTTTACCTGGACATATTGATTAGCTCTGGAATGACTTTTTGTTTCTTGATTTAATGTGCTTTGAAATTTTGGAGTAATCTGCATCCTGGGTCATTAGTAAATGATGGTCCTGGGCAGCTTTTCTCTTATGTTCATCTAATCATAGGCTTGGACCACATGAACACAGGCTTGGTGAATGAAATCACTCTGGGCATGTGGCTCATTTAATGCCACAGGTTTAGGTTCTGTGCAGATCACAAGACTGTCAGATTCCCCCCTTTTTTTAAAAAAAGTAACTTTTATTAGAACTTTCATAATTTTCATTGTGTGTCATTCCTGTTCTAAGTTTCTGGGGTTCTGTTCAAGTAGAAACCTGCCTCTAAACATTGCTGTCACTCCTACATTATCTACCATCATTAAATTCATTTTGCTCTTCAGAGCAAAAGGAATCCATATCCTTTAATGCTGCTCATTTTGATTCAGCCAGTAAAAAGCTGGTAAGTACATTTCACACAAATGGAGTAGGAACACTTTCATTTTTCACTTTGGTCATCTGATATAGCACCATGTTGCCACTGTGCAGCAGCTGGAATAGGATGGCAGATGTTCCCTGACTAATCCCAGGTCCCAACCTGCAGCAATCCCTTCTGGTGATGGTGGCCTTCTAAACAGATGATGTTACTGTCCACTTGTTGTTTGGCCTGTGGCCCAGAGACACTAGACCACACTACCTTAGAACTACTGCCATAATCCATCACCACGCATTTTGAGCAGGAACTTTCTTCAGTGGTAAAAATGGCGTACACATGTATTCCAGAACAATATGCAGTGTAATATATAACCTTGTTGCATTTTTTCTACTGAAGAAATCTAGCTAAAATTGTAATCTGGATTAAAAAAAAAAATCCTTAAGATTGCACTGAACTCTTGGACATTTAGGGGCTTAAATGTTACTTTATGGGTCTGTTTTTTCAGTCTTTTGATTGACACTTGTTTAGAAGGAGAACAAATGCAATTAGAGGTACCACAAAAGATTTTCCTGTACCACTATCAGAGTAATCAGGTGAGATCCAGTACCAAGAAAGAGAAATCCAACACGGAGGAGAGAACAAGCTTTGACAGATATTAGAGCAACTCTCAGGGGAAAGTTCTGCTTAGAGATTATCCTAGAGCCTTTAAATGGCATGTGATGACACAGGAAAATGATACTTGAGAGAATGTTTTGTATTACAAAACCTCTATTTACAAGATTCTCTTCTCTGTCAGGATCTATCTATGCAAGTGTGATTCAGTGCCAGGATGTGAATCTGTACATCCACTCAGAGAGCCAGATCAATCTGTCCCAGTGTGTCTAACAGAGCTAAACATAATCTAAATATCTCTCTCCTGCGAGGGCTTAGACAGGTGCAGACAGGAAGTGACTCCATGAATGAAAGGACAGAATTGTTCCTCTGTTTCAACTGGTCAAAGCCTGGCTGGCTTTTAATTAGAGCTGTTAACCGAGAGAGAGAAGGGAGAGTTAGAGGGGATGATGGGAGAAGGAGTAGGGGAGAGGAGGGCTTGGCATGAGATGCAGGAGAGCCGTTCCATTGGTGTGCAGCTTGAAGTTCTTTCACTTAGTGATTGGTGGATCAGATTTGGACATGCAAACTCTTCCTGATGTTCTGTGCAGGATGTGACTTCATATTTACAGCAGACACTGTAGTAGAAGCTGTAGTATCCATAAGAATAGCAGTAATAGTTGCCGTAATAGAAGTAACAAATGCAGTAATACTAGTATTGTAATTGGCAGTAGTTTAGTGCTAATTGTAGCAGAAGGTGAGGAGTATCTGTAAACCAGTGCTACACTGGGCAGTTTCTCCTTTTGCTTCTGGCACCATCTCTCCATGATGTCAGTAGCTGTAGTGATGGTGTCTAATGAAAGATTTTACATAAGAGAAAAAAAAAACAGGAAATGGCACTTGGGTCAACTACTGAGGAGGAAAACGCTCTCAGTCCAGAGGCCCTGTTCACTCACCCGATGTGTACAACAGAGCAGTGTTGGTACTGGCCCAAACGTGCTCTGTGTGTGTGTGTGTGTGTGTGTGTGTGTGTGTGAGAGAGAGAGAGAGAGAGCTTACTTACTTGCATACATATGCATTTAAGAAGCAAATGCTGTGCAGCAGTCACTGGCAGTGCTATAAATGTCTGGTAGAGAAAGGCAGGTTGAAGACAATTTACCAACCTGAAATAACTTTTTCCTCCCCTGCCCACCTTGTCTTCTACCCCCTCTCGACACCTTCGCTCTCTATAACATGAACTCTTTGCCCTCCATTTCCCCTCCTTCACTCCATTCCTACCTCATCTTCCCTCCACAAATTCCTCAACCTCTCCCTGAACTGGACTTTTCTTACTCTGATTCTCACGGTGACATCACTACCCTCCCATCCTTCTCCACCTCCAGATGCCCTCTCGCTGCAGGACTGCCCTGAACATCGTGGTGACCACCCTTTTTGCTGCGGTGGTCCTCTTGACCGTCCTGCTGGCATATGTCACAGGTTAACATGTGAATTTCAATTAGACATGCAGAGAAAATGCTGTATAATCATTTTTTGGTTTTACTCATTCCCATGATGTTTTTGTTACAAAGGCTACCAGTTCTTCCACACTGAGCAGCACCACCTCTCCTTTGGCCTCTACGGTGCCTGCCTCTTCCTCCACCTTTTCCTCCAGAGCCTCTTTGCCTTCTGGGAGCATCAGCGTATGAGGAACCCCACCCGACCTCAGCACCTCTGTTGCTCTGTGGCCCTCTGTATCGCCGCCTACCAGGAGGACCCAGACTACCTGAGGAAGTGTCTGCACAGCATCCGACGAATCTCCTTCCCTAGTCTGAAGGTCGTGCTCGTGGTGGATGGAAACCGCCAGGAAGACCACTACATGATGGACATTTTCCAGGAGGTGATGGGTGGGGCAGACCAAGTTGGCAGTATGGTGTGGAAGGGAAACTACCACAGTGAAGGGAGCGGACAAGGAGGCGTTGGAGGCAGAGGGAGGAGTACAGTGCACATGAAGGAGGCGGCACGAGCTGCTCAGCTGATCAGAGGCTACCGCTACTCCTGTATCATGCAGGAGTGGGGAGGGAAAAGAGAAGTGATGTACACAGCTTTTAAAGCACTGGGGAACAGTGTGGATTATGTGCAGGTATGAGCCACAGACACACAGAATGGTATGCGTATGTGTGTGTGTTGTATAGTAAAGGACTAGGACCATGTGAAAAATATTGATCTTGCATTTTACCATACTGATGTATGGTATGGTATCCCTTTGTTCTGCAGTACTTTGCTTGTCATGTTGTAAAAAGTTGAAAGAACACCCACTTTCAAACCTCATCCTCCTACAGATCACTGGCCTGCATTGCATTTTATAGCCCATCATGTTTTCATATCATGTGCTGAAAAAGCACCTCTTCTGTTTAGTCACTGCAGTGACTTCAGAGAATTTTTTTTTTTTTTTTAAATCTGTGGAATTTTTTTTATAATTTTACAGACATGGGCAGTATGCCCCATCTTTGAACACCAATAAAACTGTGAACATAGGGGTGGCTGAGTGTATGTAGCCGTAGTCATCAGGGGGAGGCCCATTTACACAAGCTGATTTGATGTCTCTGTGCTGGGGCATACAGATGTCCACATTCTTTTGAATAAAATGTATTTAAAACAAGAAACCCAACAGTTTGCATACTGTTACAGCTAACAATGTACTTCTAAAAGTAAAACTTCAAGTACTACAAAATAACTCATCTGGTTAAATACATGCATAAAGTGTACTATAAGGTACCACGTGGTAAATAAGCATCTATAGGCTTATGTGTTGAATCTCCACACTAGACAGTCATAGCCTTACTGCACAATTTAAACGACTCTAACTTTCCACCGTCAGAGTGAGAGTCAAAACGAACACGAGCAGGAACTGCTCTTCTTCTCCTTGCCCCACCTGTCCTGTCTGTGAAACATGTGGTCAGTATAGCCAGAAACTCGGCAGTGGTGTAGCTCAGCAGTAATAACCAGCTCTAGAACTAATGTGCATGAAATATAGAGTCCATGGTTTTCGGCACCATTGCAGCGACACGGGTCCTTTTTCGTACCTAAAGCAGTAACACAAGCATTGTTTTTTTTTGTTTTTTGTTTTTTTCCCCATAATATTGATGTAGTACAATGTTCACACCACTGTCGTATCACGTTCGGTGTTACATACTTGACACACACTACTGTTGTACCTGGTACTTTTTACCATACTGACTCTGAGAGATGAGACAGTCCAAGTAACTACAAAACAGTGCTGATTTATTCCATGAACACAGGTAAAAATTAACATTACACGCTCAGGTATCTTGCACCTCCAACCTGCACGCAGGCAGATGTAAGATGAAAGACCCTGAACCCACCAGGCCTATACATTATATCCCCTCGGTTGGGCTAGCCCCATACTACACAGAAACGTCAACCAAGACGTCTCTGGTGCCAGCTTTGCAGCTGGCCATAGCAGTAGTCAAAACATGAAGCAAATCAATGTGTGTGTGTTTGTTGATTAAGTGGTGTGTAGCTAAAAACATTCTAACACGACCTCTAGTAACATGTCGTGACTTAAACATAAGAACATATTATGGCTAAGGCTACAGTTATACACGTCATAATAATAATATTAAACACCCTGTCTGCTGACAGTCATCAACTTCTCTCTCTAGTTATCCTTGACCAGATGTACCCTGTAGAAATTCATAAGCATGACTAAGCATTTAACAGTCTAACTAGCCATCCTATCTCCACTAAACATTTCTAATACATAAAGTATCTATCCAACATCTATCTGACTAAAAATACCTAACACTACCGTGAGTTATATGTGGCCATTTGGGTGCTTCTCATGCTCTCTGTCTCTGACATGCCAAACTTGTATTGACCCTAGGTTTGTCTTGTTCTTTGTCACACACCGTCTGTTCTACAGAACAAGGCTCTTGGGGATGAACAGGTCTACTCCTATCCTGTGTTGTACCTGCACAGAAAGCCTTCATGGTCCATCTTTGAAATGACCTGTAATGGTTTGAAAAAAAGCATCTGATCTGTGGGGGTGTGGAAGAATTGTGGTCCAGATCTTGACAACACTGGCTACAAAGGGAAAGGAGTAAAATGGCAAAATAGCAAAGAGGGGGTGTAGTATAGCAGGGAGGAAAATACTGGTAGACAATTTATTTATCCAAATTTGTGTTGAATCCAAGTTGATGCTGCTTTAAAATGATCACAGGAAATAAAGAAACTATACTTGAAATTCATCTAGCATAAAACCCACTAAATGCTTAGTGGCACTAAAGTCAACTGAAAACTAACATTGGACCACTTGTACTGCAAATAAGAGTTTACTTATTTACATTCCAAACTCTTTAACCTATTTTGAACAACCATAGCCAGCTGCTCCACGTCCTTTGTGTCTTTGCTGTTCAGTTACAACCAGCTGGGATATCAGTCAGCAGCCTCTCATTTGTCTCTTCGATTTTAGTACGAGTGTTCTGAAGCACTTGCAGCCTCCATTTGATTAGTGGCTGTATATTTTTGAGTCCCTCTGCATTATTGTAACCTGTTTATTGTCCCTTTTTTAGGTGTGTGACTCAGACACAGTTCTAGACCCAGCATGTACCATAGAAATGCTAAAGATCCTTGAGGATGATCCAATGGTGGGAGGAGTTGGTGGCGATGTACAGGTATTAAAATATTTGGCTTGAAAGTCAACATACAAATTCTTAGGCCACTGAGAGAGATGACTGGAAGCTGACAACACTGTGTTGTAAAAGTACAATTAACCAATAAGATTTTTCTTTCACTTTTTTTCTAACTTACCACCTCTACATGTTGCTGTCCTGCAGATCCTCAACAAGTACGACTCGTGGATCTCCTTCCTCAGCAGCGTGCGGTACTGGATGGCCTTCAACATCGAGCGGGCCTGCCAGTCCTACTTTGGATGTGTCCAATGTATCAGTGGCCCCTTGGGAATGTACAGGAACTCCTTACTCCAGTGCTTCCTGGAGCCCTGGTACCACCAGACATTTCTAGGTTCCAAATGCAGCTTCGGTGATGACCGGCACCTCACCAACCGGGTGCTCAGCTTTGGTTACAAGACAAAATTCACAGCACGATCACAGTGCCAGACTGAAACACCAGCCCAGTATTTGCGCTGGCTTAACCAGCAGACGCGATGGAGCAAGTCCTACTTCCGTGAGTGGCTCTACAATGCCCTGTGGTTTCACAAGCACAGCCTCTGGATGACCTATGAGTCTGTGGTCACTGGCTTCTTCCCCTTCCTTTTGGTTGCCACGGTCATCCATCTCTTCTACCATGGGAAGCTGTGGAGCATACTGCTGTTCTTACTGATGGTCCAGCTGGTTGGGATGGTGAAGGCCACCTATGCCTGTTTCCTGCGTGGGAGCCTGGTCATGATCTTCATGTCACTCTACTCTCTGCTCTATATGACCAGCTTGCTTCCTGCCAAAATATTTGCTTTGCTCACCATCAATAAGGCTGGATGGGGCACTTCAGGCCGTAAAAAGATTGTGGTCAACCTCATTGGTGCGCTACCTGTTACAGTGTGGGCAATGGTGCTGCTTGGAGGTGTGGCATATACAATTTACTGTGAAACACAGGAAACATTCAGTGAGACTGAGAAAGCCCTGTTGATATCAGGGACAATGATCTACGCCTGCTACTGGCTTATTCTGTTGGTGCTCTACCTGGCACTTGTAGCCAAACGGTGTAACAAGAAGGAAGATCAGTATCGCCTGCCATATATGGAGGCATAAACTTGTCACCATAGGTACTAGCAGAACAGTCATGCCGATTTTCACTGCATTATGGTTCTAGCAAGGTCCCTGCTGACCCTGTGCGCTGCTGGAGTGATGAGCTGTGAACCAGGAACACATGTTCTACAGAGGTGTGAACCTGAAATCCAAGCGGCAGGAATTGAATCCAATTTGGGGAGACGGAGAGATGAGGGGATCCATACAGCTTTCCCATTTATATCAAGTTCAGTGGTGCTTCTATTGGAAAACCAAACTAAATGGAACTGATCCAGGTTAAAGTGTTCATACACATGCACTATTGACTTCTTCAGAAGAACACTAGGTAGTAGCTGTAATACTGTGACAAAAGGATGCTTTATGATGCCTTTGAATAAAACAGCAAAAGGGGCTAAATGTGAGTAAGAAATAAAGGTCTTACTGGTGTGTCAGTTTTTCATCTTCATTTAAAAAAAAAAAAGGAAATAAAATATAATACAACTGAGCTTTTCTAATAAACACCAATAAGTAAAATTGCAGTGCAGCTCTCAATATATTTCAGGTAGGGACCAGCAGATCCATTCTGACATTATGGGGTATGTGAAACAAAGTAAGTTTTAAAGTGGTGTAAATGCCTACAAACACTTGACATGTATCGTTGCTGTCAGTTTGTCCATATGTTGTCATTTTTATTCATTTCATAAATCGGTGCTATTGGTCACCTTGTACATCCGTCTGTGGGTTTTACAAACATTTAACCAGTAAGAAAGGCTTGTGACAAAATTTTGTGAATCCACTAGCTCTTGAAACTGTCAGCAACACGAGTTTTGTTTAGGTAAAATGTTAATATAATGACACACAGGTAAGTGACCATATATAAAGACACCATACCAACTTTGACATGTTGAATTATTTTAGATACATAGGGTTTCTTCGTTTCCTGAAAAGTAGTGGTTTTGAAGATGCAAGGTTTCTGGCCGACAGCGATGATGTATGTCTTGCATTAAATGGAGACGGAAAAATACAGACTCAGTATATCAAGAAACCAACCAAAACAGTTCATTAATCAGTGTATTTAAATATCGTTAAAATAATTTCAAAAGTCTTTTTGGGTACCCTTCCTAGAGGAAACATTTTTGACAATATTTAAAACATGTTATCTATTTGGTATCTTCTCTATTTGGTATCTTCATGGAATTGTGTATAACAAAGGTGATTCAGATTAATATGATCTGTGCTTTCATCTGACAGGATTAATAGGGGCATCTGATTTGTTTGTGATTTAATAAATTAATAAGCCTAAGTGCAATAGAGTGTGGGAGTTATTTTTTTTTTTAAACACCTTTGCTATTTGTTGTTCTCCTCCAACACACCTCTTGCACATTCAGATGTGTAAGTTTGTTCCCCCCTCCCCAAGAGACATATGCTGCCATCAAGGTAAAGTCTTTTCCTGGAAGTCTGTGGATATTTCAGGAGGATGGTGCCAGGCCTCATTCTGCATGTGCTATAACAGCGGGGGCTTTGTAGACACCGTGTGTGTGTGTGTGCGCGCGCGTGTGCACGTGCAGTTTACTGGCCTGTCTGCAGTCCAGCTCTGTCTCCTACTGAGAATGTATGACACTTCATGAACAGGAGCATCAGACAACGGTGACCACGGACTGTTCAGCAGATGAACAGCGGTAAACAGGCCTGTTGCAATGTTTTTGTGTTGTAGGCATCAAATTCCACTTTTGTTTATATTACACAATGCAATAAAGTTGGTCAGGTATAACACTAAAAACCTTTTCTTTGTAATTCTGTCATTTAAATAAGGTTTCAAGCAAATAAAACTATTTTTTTACTGCATTTTGCAAAATGTTGAAAACTAAGGGTGGGATTTTCATGGAATGGTGTAAATATCAGATTATATTTATGGTCCTTGAGAACACATTCAAATAATATTTGAGCCTTTGGTGCCATCCTCAGCACATTTTCAGTTTAGCATTATCAAACTGACCAGAAACACCAGAGACAGATTCGCTCTACTGTAGCCAAAGCATTGATGCAAAGCTGGTTATTTTGGCAAAGTTTCAGAAATCTGCTTAAACTTTACAATTTAATGGCACGATGTGTTCTTTATGCTATCAAACACTTTCATATGAGAATGCGTAATGAACATTGCGCTTCTAGGAGCTAGTAGGTGAGCTTTGGACTCTTAAGGCCCTTTCACACCGGACGCGAATTTAACGCGCGTCAATATTTTTCGAACCAATAACTTGTCAATGATACATTGCACACCGCTGACGTAATTTTGCGACGTGAAAAGTGACATTAATTTTTTTCGCCTCCGGGTTGATTTTTCCAACTCGTCGCGGCAACGGCAGCACCTCTGACCAATCACAATGCAGCTTGTTGACACGTCAAGATCTTCACTTGCTTGTGAACTAAACTGATTTCATTACAAATAAACAATTTTTTTTTTTTTTTTTTTTTTTTTTTTTTTTTTTTTTTTTTTATCTCAGACACACGGCCAGGCGATGTTCTGGGTCGATCGGATTCCTGTAATTATTTTTTTGTTTCATCATGTGGGGGGTCAACAGCACCAACAACTCTTCAAACTGTCCGACAGACATCCTGAAATAGGTCCTAAAGCGACCATGATACAACTTCAGTTCCTGTACCAACCGATGAAACTCGCCATGTTCTCTCCTTCTTTTCAATATAGGATGGACCCAAAACCTTCTTTGTTTTCTTTTTTTCATGTAGCAGGATAAGCAGTACATCGTCGTCGCTTGATGTGGAGTCCATCTTTGTAGCGCGACATTTTAAGAAAATATCGCTTATTTGCGTCACGTTTGGTGTGAAAAGGCCTTTAGTCTTACAGTTGAAATCAGATGTTTAAATACATTTAAGTTGAAGTAAACAAAACTGATTTTTTTATAACCACTCCAGATGTCATGCAAACAAACTCTCATTTTGGCAAGTCGCTTAGGATGTACTTTATGCAGGACAAAAATAATGTTTCCAACAGTTTACAGATAGATTATTTCACTTCTAATTCACTCTATCAGAATTCCAGTGGGTCAGAAGTTTATATACACTCAGCTGACTGTGCCTTTAAACATCTTGGAAAATTCCAGGAAATGATGCTATGACTTCAGAAGCTTCTGAGGCAATAGGAGGTACACACGTGGATGTATTTTAAGGCCTACCTTCAAACTCAGTACCTCACTGTTTGGCATCATGGGTAAATCAAAAGAAATCAGCCAAGACCTCAGAAAAAATTGTGGACCTCCACAAGCCTGGTTCGTCCTTGGGAACAGTTTCTAAACGCCTGAAGGTTCCACGTTCATCTGTACAAACAATACTACGCAAGTATAAACACCATGGGATAATGCAGCCATCATAGGACTACATCTCAGGAAGGAGATGTATTTTGTCTCTTAGACATGAACATACTTTGGTCCAAACAGTACAAGTCAGTCCCAACACAACAGCAATGGACCTGGCGAAAACACTGGATGAAACGGGTACCAAAGTATCTATATCCACAGTAAAACAAGTCCTATATCAACATAACCTGAGACTCTGCTCAGCAAGGAGGAAGCTACTGCTCCAAGATCCCCATAAAAAAGGCAGACTACGGTTTGCAGTGGCACATGGGGACAAAGATCAGACTTTATGGAGAAATGTCCTCTGCTTTGTTGAAACAAAAATTGAACTATTTGTCTCTAAAATCCATTGTTTTGTTTGGAGGAAAAAGGGGGAGGCTTACAAGCCAAAGAACACCATCCCAACCATGAAGCATGGGGGTGGCAGCATCATGTTGTTGGGGGCCTTTGCTACGGGAGGGACTGGAGATGACTGTAAGTCTATGTAGGGACCTGGTAAGTGACAAAAACAAGGATATGTGTGTGTGTGTGTGTGTGTGTGTTTCTCAGGTGGCAGCTTGATCTTGATCAATGAACACTGAACAGTGGGTGGTCTGGGTTGCAGGCCCCCTGTGTGTGTGATGCTAATAAGTATGCTAAACTGGCCAGGTGGTCATCTCCGGTTGTGGGCCCCCTGGCTCTGCAGGACACCCCATGACAAAGCAGAACTTGAAATATGCTAAGTGGGTCGAGGAGTGAGTGCAAACCCGGCCAACGGGTCTTTGTTAGAATGTAAAAAGGCTGTCTGGTTACTTGGAGATGCAGACTTCCTATCTCTACAGAAATTACAACATACAGTCTCACTGTTACACTCACCACAATACAGCAGTCTTCAAAACAGTTTTAATATGTATAAGCAAGGAAAATAAAGGTATAAAAAATAACTAAAAGCAGAAAAAGAACTGAAAAGTAACTAAAGGCAACTAGAGTTATGAAAAGGAACTAAAGGTATGTGAAGTAACTAAAGCTTGCAAAGTAACTAGAGCCTATAAGAATCAAATCTTACAGCAGCAAATGCAGCAATATAATGAAAAAACAGACTATAATAAGAGAATGTATGCTGCATGAGAGCAGCATGTGCAGGCATCAACAGTCAATGTGCAATTATGCATGTGCAAACTCTTAGAAATTACCCGATTCTTTTGTTGCAAGCATGAGAAGTGAAGACAGGAGAGAACTGTTTAAAATCAGCAGAAAGTTTACTGGAAGTTTGAGCACAGGTAGGTCTTACAGCACTGGGATCAGAGAGATAGAGCTCCCACAGGAATTCCATTCTCTGAACCCCAAATTAAGTTTTTACAACACATTTATCTTCTTGGGCTGCTCCACTCTGGCCAGGGGTGCAACCTTCAATAGTTTGTGATCCTTTTGGCCATTTGGTGTGAACCACAGCTCACACTTCCTTGTTGAAATGTGGTAAAATCTAGGTGTGTGTGTGCGTGTGTGTTTCTCAGGTGGCAGCTTGATCTTAATCAAGAGCACTGAACAATGAGTGGCCTGAGCTGCAGGCCCCTGTGTGTGTGATGCTAATAAGTATGCTAAACTGGTCAGGTGGTCATCTCAGGTTGTGGGCCCCCAGGCTCTGCAGGACACTCCAAGACAAAGCAGAGCTTGGGATATGCTAAGTGGGTTGAGGTGTGAGTGCAAAGCAGGCCAACATGACTTTGTTAAAATGTAAATAGGCTGTCTGGTCCCCAGTAGATGCAGCCAGAAGTTGCAGAAAGTAAGCAGATTCTGCTTCATTGCAATTGTAAGATATACAGTATAAGCAAGAAAGATAAATGTATTAAAAATAACCAAAGCTCAGTAGTTCTGGACAATCATCAATACAGCTGCAATATGTATAAATAAGGAAAATAAAGTTATGACAGGTAACTAAAGGGAACTAAAGGTATGAGAAGTAACTGAAAGCTAATTTTCTGGTTCTCTTAACCAGGAACTCAGAGAGACGAGGCGGTCCAAGTGGATACAAAAAACCGTGCTGGTTTATTCAAAGGATCACAGGCAAAATTAACATTACACGTCCAGATATCTTCCACCTCCAATACTGCGCGCAGGCAGATGAAGAATG